GACTACATTGCAGACATCATCACTGTCCCACCAGCCTTCCAAACATGAATGCCAGCTATGTCCTACAAATGCTAAAGTTGTAAACCAATGTTTTGTATGATAAAGAGATAGCCAAGCAATATAGTCAGTTAACAGCTTAGAGTTTCCCAAAACACTGGGTCACGCCCTGGGAAGAGGTAAACATCTGATCTGCTAAATTCTGGTACTGCACCTCTTCCTTACACAGGGGCTTCTCTAACTTCATACTCCCAAAAATCTTCCAATTATTACAGCAAAAGAAAATTATCACTCTTGCAATTAAACAAAGTCAAACTATAGCTAACATGTGCTATCAACATTCATCAGATAACCCCACTGTCTGGAAAACCATCTCTATTTCTAGCACATTCCCAGGACAGCAACCCACCAGAAAATAGGTAGAAAAAACAAGTGACAAGTTTCCATTCTCAACAACATAGCCAGCTTCACTGCAGTGAGAATGGTTAATCGTGGGCTACCAGCCATCCAGCAATCCACAGCAGCTAGTCTGCAGACAGGAAAAGCAATTAGCTTCTGTGGCAGTATGTGCCCCCTCAACTCTGTGCCATGCTGCAAGAGCAGTGGGGCAAGATGCGCTGCCAACTCCACAAAAGCAACTCATGCAGAAGTTTTTGATCTGCACCTGATCACCACCCAAGTTCAGAATGATGTGAATAACCCCCCGTTCAGTGCTGTCCTGCCTCACAGATACCACCGAACACCTAAGAAAAGGCAGACTGTAATAACTACCGCATGCCCCCATGTTCCTTCCAAATCCACTGCCATTACAACAGGTCTATAAATCTCTGGAGGCTGCCATCTCACCCTGTAGCCACCTCACACAGTAACACACTCAGGCTGCAGTCACATGGATTCTGCAATGGAGTAGTGGTTACTTCACACAGGCATGAGCAGCACTTGGGGTTGGCAAAGCTGCCAATGACTGAAGCTAAAATCACATCCACTCTTTAAGCCCTTAAAAAAGGGGGCAAGCTGTCCCATCATGTAGCACAGGCAAGTCAGTCAACCCTGGAGTACTGCAAATAAGTTCCAAAAAAATCTCATTGCTAATATATTTTGGTATGGGGAGAAGAGGGAAGGTCTGCATCCCAGACCATGTGGAAAAGAGAAAATGCCTGATACAATTTCACACAGCAAAGCCTAAAATATTCACCACTGGTGAAACATCAGAAGGATAATGAGATTTCAAATCAATCTAAACAGAGCTCCAGCTACCCCAACGAGTAATTTAGATATTTAACAGTTGCTTGGAAAGAAGCAACTATCCCTATAGTTTGACTGTCCTAAAAAAACACCTAAGTACGTTTAAGGATAAAGAATTCACTGTTCCCAACTACAGAAACCTGAGATATCAATATGAACTTCATACTGATGAGAAATTTTGAAATATTTGTCTTATTTTACCTAGTTAATTATAGCATGTTTATTTTCTTTTAAATTAAAGTTGAAAGAAAATACACAGAAAAAGTGTTCTCTGAAGAGTAGGTGAAGTGCCTAGGTGACATTTTGTAGAATTCACATTATTTTCCATCTATCCTGAGAAAGCTACAAACATATTTTCAACTTTTTAGATGAAAGCTTTCGTGCTTGTTCCCAAAACATGATTAACTTCCTTAAGATCTGTATGACATATTCAGTTTAAAGTTTGCATTTTTCTGTGCTAAGATTATTTGCCAGAAAAACTAAAAATATCTGCAGAAATGAAATAGACCTAGAAGTTTATTATTGATATTAAAAAAACCCCCACAACATTTTAGTGTCTTAATAGCATCCCTTCTTACACGCCTTTCTAATAACTTTAATCTTAAACAATATGCTAATTATTCTACAAGATTTTTCAAATTCTCTTATTTCAAGATCTTCAGTAGTCTTTACTAACTAGTTCTTTTTACTAAATCATTATAATGTATTTTCTTGATTAATGCCATCAGTAGATTCTTCTTTATTTATGGCATTTTCTTTATCCAATATATAATATATCACTTGTTGCTTTAAAAAAAAAATCCCAAACCAAAACAGTCCACAGAACAATTTTCGCCCTGTCACTGTCTGTGGTAGAGGAGAACCATGACTAATAGGAAAAGGGATCAAGCCTCAAACTTGCTTTACAACATATTTTTGTATTGCAAAAGGAGGTGGTATTACAAGGTAACAACAGGAGTTCTCACAAACTACCCTTAACCTTGGTAGCCATGTACTATCACCCCATTCTGTAGTAGAGACCACAGACATGAACAAACAACAGACCATGAGCGACTGGAAACTAGCACAATAGTTACTAATTATTTACTTGTAAAATCTTTCATGGAGTAATATCTAGCAGCCTAATTCACAGATACAGAAAATCAAGAATTTTTCCTTCTTTCACTATCCCTACACAGAGGTTACACAGTACTGAGGTTCATATTCTAGTGCAAAACCAACTGTAAGTCAAATGCAAGTATTTACCCCTCACTGATAATATTTGCCTCTCAATATTACTGACAGGCCATGCCCAAGAATTCTATCAGGCCACTAAAAGCTGCAAGATAAGAAATCCTCAATTTTGGATCCTCCTACTTTTGAGAATGGAAGCTGCACTGAAACACCTCCCTGAGACAGAGGTAATTAAAAAAAATAATTAAGCTAAAGTGGATTAAATCTGTGTATGTACTTACATAAACACACAGAGAGAACACACAAGATACCTCTGATTTCATTATGCAATTTGTAAATGCCGATGCACAGCTGCCGGGTTTTTTTTTGGACATAACAGCAGATTCTATGAATTCTATTAGAATTCATATGAATGCACCAAGTGATTTTCCTCAGTTGTCTACTCAATGGGGACAAAGACAGTATTATTCACGGGTAACAAGAGGGGTGGTATAAAAGCTGGGCAGCAAGGATGTGGTTCATTAAGGGAAGAACTAAAGAATTCATTAAGGTGCACTGTGAGGCACAGCAGCTTTGCAAGTATTCTCTGATGTGCCAATAACGTCGTAACAAATATCCAAGTAAACTAGTTAAGTAGTTTTCCCTCACATTAACATTGGTTTCAGCGTCATTCAAGCTGTGGTCATTTACAATTTCAAAAACACGCTTGATCCTTTCTACAAATCACACAACAAGCCAGATACCCAAACACTCTTCGAGGTGTGCCTCAACATCTTCCAACAAACTTAGAACAGCATTCTAGCAAGAATACCGGAAACCAAAACATGGTTTGTTTGTTTTAATAACACAACATAGTTATTTACCTTAGCAGTGTGATAGGCAGCATTCTGCTAGGAAGTTTCCATACCATTACGTATCATTTATTTTTCAGGCAATTTTTAAAATTATTCTTTAAGAAGACACTATATAACTGATGCGGCCCACATTTAAACTCACACCATCCAAGTAGTCTACCAAATCATTTCCTCCATAAGCAGCATGAAGACGGAGTGCATTGTGACACCTCATACATATTTAATAATAGCCTGATAGATTGCTGTTTGATGTTAATGACAGCCTAAGTTTGCTACATTAAACATGATCCCTGTGTTAAGAGGACAAGCACAAAGTGCCTCCAAGATGGAGTGGATAAGAAATACCCACCCTTGGACATGGTGTAATGAGGCCAACTGCACTGAAGAAGCCATTATTCACACATTGGATTTAAAATTAAAAAAAAAAAAAGCAGGGGAAAAAGAAAAAGCTTCTATGGGTCATAAGACCAGACATGCCATAAGGCAATCTGTCACAGAGTACTCATATTAATAACTGTTGTGTCAAAACTGAACATTCAAAAGACAAGACAAACCTTCCTTTATGTTTTATGAAATGTAAGCCCACAGAATTAATAATTCATGAGATGAAGAAAAATATCAGATTTGGATATAAATATTAACAGAACGTTGTCAATCTGTTTAGAACTGAATTTTGACTATCTTACCTTATAATTATCAATCTAGAAGGGAATATTCTTCAAAAGCTCAAAAAAAAAAAATCAGTAAGAAAGCCATTAATGAAGAAATTAACATTCTCTATTCATGTAGGTCCTAAGCAAAACAGCAGAACTCTGTTCTGTGCCCAGTTGCTGCTGAGTGAATGCTAATTGACTAGCATTATTTGTTCCCAGAGTTACGCTGCATTGACAACAATAATGCTGGAGTGCACACAAAAAAGTATACTAGAGGGACACACAAAAAACCAAGACCCAGTGGAAAAAGGGTAGAGAAGGCAGGGAAGTAGTTGTCAGATGACAAAGACAAAAAAGTTAGTTCAAAGTTAATATAAGTTTCAGAACACAACATTTATACAATGTGTCTTGGATAATTTTTTCTGATTAGCTAAAGAACAGGCATTTAAAACTGCAAAAGAAAGCAATTACCCCATAATGCACAACCACTTACCAGTAAGTTCACTGCATGTGATTTCAAGCAAATATGAAATACATTTTCAGAATATTTGTTAGTCTCAAGATAAAGTAGTATGTAACTAGACCTATAAAATGATGCAGTTGTTTCCATTTTAATCTTTATTTTGTTTGCTAAAGTGGTTAGCAGTTGAAGTTCAAGATCTAGAAGAAACTTCTGCCTTATGATGCCAGCCCTTCTCTGCTTTCACTACTATTACAGAGAACAGAATATTGGAACACAAAACACAATTGTGCCAACAATGAGGAATGCTATTAAAATGTCTTGTCCTAAATAGTGGTGACAGTGCTTTTCTTTACAGTTTTTTTTCTTCTCCCCAGTGCTAATATAATTTCAGTCTAGATATATACCCACCTGTGCTTACATTCTGGGCAATAGTATTAAAAATACTTATAGATCAATATTGGGCATACATAAAAAAGTCAGTTCAAACAGTCCACTTTTAAAAACCTACAATTCCGGACATTTTCACTGCATTTCACCCAGTCATGAGCATGCACAATGAAAAGCCAAAGTTGAACGTTACAAAATTTTAATTTTTTTAAAAAAGTTAATTCCTACCTTTATCATTCTAGAGAGATCTCCAGCATCAGCTAATTCCAACACTATGTTCAGTTCATTGTCTTCAATGAAAGACGCATAATATTTAATTACATTTGGATGGTTCAGTTGCTAAGAAAGCAGAATAATAACGCACATTTTAGTGTACAGCACTTCTTATCCTTTAAGATTGACAAATGAAACATTCTTATTTAGGCAAACAAAACAATCCCTAACATTTATTTCAGTATGATACAAAAAGTACATGCTTATGGGAAGCACTTATGAATAACCATTTTGCAAGAACATGATGGCATTTTAGGATCAACATGATGATTGAAGTTGCAATTTTAGAGGAATTTTGCTTCAATGTATCTATGCGATAGCATGCTAAACTGTTAGCTGAAACAGCAAAGTCAATTTTTAAAATCAGCATTTTACTGTACACAGGACAATTGTTTACAATACTGTGCTTTTGGCAGAAACTTCTACTTGAAGAGTTATCCATTTTTCCATAGGATTTACTTCTCAATGTTAATTTTTTAAGCAACAAAGATTACAAAATTCCTTAAGTGAGGCTTATAAAAACTCTACACTGACAACAGGGGACACCTCAAGTATATCCACCAGAAACTTAATATACTTTGATGATGGCTGCACATTTTTTAAACAAATATTTTACCTTAAGAAGATCTATTTCTTTAATGCAGTCAGCACGGGCTTTGGCATCCATTAAATCAAATATCTATGCACAAGAGATAAGACATTTTTATTAAGTGATAAAAACACAGCAAATTGAGTGATGATTACCATTACTTCATAGCATCCATAAAGCAACTTGAATTACACATTTCATGGCAAGATGTAACATTGCAGTAGGAAGTATTCCTAATGCTCTGACGTTACTGATTTACTGCTGTATCGATTATTTTAGCCTCCTCAGAGGAAATAAGTCCATTTTAAGTTTCCCAGTGACTTAATTGCCACCTCTGCATATCTGTTCAAACACACAGCAATAATTCAGCACATTTCCTTCAAATTGGTTCTAATTCAAATGTTAGCTTCCTCTCTCATTCCTGTCACACCATTATCACAAACTGATTCTTTCTAGTATTGAGCACACCTTTTTTTCCTAGTATTGCCTACAGTCTTCCTTTTCTATTCTAAATAATGCATACACTTTTACCTGCTCTCAGGATCAAAACTTCATTGTCACCTCCAACTCCTTCTCTTCCATTTCCTTCCCTTCAGCAAGCAAAGAAGTGATTTGGGTTCTATAATTTGTTTACTGGAGCACTTTTTTCAAAGCCCTCATCTGTCACCTTGACTTTTACAGCCTTTTACAGTTAGACATCTCTGCTCTTCATTTTTTTCCCCAACGCCCATCTGCTCCAAATTACTTTGCAATGTATCTCATCTTTATCTCCTTCAGTTAACCACATTACTTCAAGTTTTGTTTCAAGTAATTTTTTCCTGCCATTAGAGTCTTTGTCCACATTCCACACACCTATATTTAATCTAATATCATTCTATTTTCACTCCCTTTTTTTACCACCTTCAGGTTCCCTTCTCACTTCACTTTCTTAGATGTGCATCTCCATATACTGCCACCAACTATTTCCCTTAGAAATGACGAAAGTGTTACTTCAAAGAACCCTTCCTTTCTCATTTGCTTTCTAAATAAAATTTAAAAAAAATAAAACCAAAACCACCCACTCATTAACTTTTGTGTGGTCTGCCTATTGCATTTTGAGCTAGCCAAAAGAATAAGAGACACACTGTGAGTTTTAGTAATTGACATTACATTTATGAGATTACCCTTTCCAGTTACATCTTTCCAATGCACATCATTTCTTTCTCGATACTCTCCAGCAAAAGATGTATCATGTCCTGCAAAGATCACTGGCACCTGGTTCCATCAGCTCAAAATGACCAAAAGCTCAAGAGCTGACAACTTCCATTTTGTACCTTGCCATCAACCCCAGAAACAAAAATAAGGATTAACAGCACTGAGTACTGACCACCTGCAAAGAGGTCATCTCTTAAACTGACTGCGTAACCATACATGTGAATCATACCTTCTTTCACTCTCCTTGTAGAAGTTCAAACAAATCAGGAAGTCCACATATGATCTGCTAAACCTCATCATCATTTTCTCTATCACTATGCACAGTAAGTTTGACATTCCCTTATTCAACTGAAAGGAGAAGTCTAGAGACTTCATGCATGGAGCACAGTCCTCACAGAGCACACATGTGCTCTTGACTAGCCATTACTGTCCTTCAGACACCCAATCTTCTGTCTTCAGAGCTGGCATAAGCAAAAACAGCCTGGAGTGGATACAGGATTCACTTTTTGGAGAAAAAAAAAAATAGAACTCTAGGTCAAGAACTGAAACACCAGACTTGTATATAGTAAGAAGAAAATGGAGAGGAGGAAAGAAAGGAAAAAACCAAAACTACTTACCAAGAAAAGGAATAAACCATCTCACAACTACTTGTATATTAAATGCCAGGATGATGGGAAATAAAGAGATTGAGCTAGAAGCAATTATTCTATTTTGTAGAAAGTTCAATTTTGGGCCTCTCACTACAAGAAAGACATTGAGCTGCTGGAGCGTGTCCAGAGAAGAGCAACAAAGCTGGTGAAAGGCTGGGAGAAAAAGCCTTACGAGGAGCGGCTGAGGGAGCTGGGGTAGTTTAGTCTGGAGAAAAGGAGGCTGAGGGGAGACCTGATCACCCGCTACAACTACCTGAAAGGAGGTTGTAGTGAGGCGGGGGTTGGTCTCTTCTCCCCGGTAACTAGCGATAGGACGAGAGGAAATGGTCTCAAGGTTCAGGCTGGACATTAGAAAGAACTTCTTCACTGTGAGAGTCGTTAAGCATTGGAATGGGCTCCCCAAGGAGGTGGTGGAGTCACCATCCCTGGAGGTGTTCAAAAAACGTTTAGATGCGGCGCTTCGAGACACGGTTTAGTGGGTTTAGTGGGCATGGTGGCGTCAGGTATATGGTTGGACTTGATGATCTTTGAGGTCTCTTTCAACCATAATGATTCTATGATTGAAGGAGGAGACTGTGGAGGACTTAACAGAAACACAGCAGGGCAAGTCACGAGAAAGGAATGCTAACACTAAGAAATAAAGCAATTTCAGATGTAATAGAAGAAAACAGTTAGTACTATATATGAAATTACTGATACAAGTATTAAAAGGTAAATAACACTGGTGGAAGAGACAGAAAAGATAGTTTATGAATTAAGGTTGGGAACTTAGTGAAGGAGATGAAATAGTCTGCATCTGTTATGGATCTTGTGATAAATAATATTGTAGTTTTGCTTAAGTCATAGCAGATAAGCAGTCCAAAATAATGTAAGTTTCCAGGTATCCAAGTATGGGGACAGAGACAGGGTAATGTGTATTCGGGTACAGGGTTACGTTGCTTTGGCTGACACCACTTATCTTAGCCATGATTAGCCTCTACCTGGCTGTCACCTTCCTGCCCTTATATGGAAGAAAGAGATCCTAACTGTCAACTTGGGTTTGCAATGTAGCCAAAACAATAGAGCACAGGCGCTGGAATAAGAAGTTCAACTGAGAGGAAGACTTTGAGCCTTCGACCCCACGACCCTGAAAGAAGAGCCTTAGAGAACAGAGCGCAGACGCAAGTGGGAGGGTATAGATGTACATAACCTCGGGGAAATCATTTAAATATGAATGACTGTCCTAAATAAATTTGTGGAAGTTAGACTAATCAGTGTCCATGCAGGAAGATCGCAGATGGGATCTCCCATGCACCCAGTGCTGAAATAAAACATTGCTTCACAGACTTTGTCTTCTCTTAAAAGCTACATAGGTGAGTGTTTCTTACAGATCTTAACTCTGAATGAAAAAAAAAAAACCACATCATTGTGACAATACACTAAAGTCCTAGTGTTTGGTACAGTCATGAAGGACTGTAACAATTTTTCTAGGAAACACTTAGGCAAGTTCTAAATATGAGAGGTAGCACATTAACTGAGAAAGTACTGGGAAAGCATGAGAACATCATTGACTTCCCCTGTAACCTAAGAGACCAGCAAATGGAAAATTTTATACCCCCTCTTCCAAAAACAATCAAGGAAATTGTGTACTGGGAAGCAGGGAAAAAAGGTGACAGGTATAAAGGCATGTTTTAAAGCTTCACACTTTTGCTAAGTTCTAGATAATAGTGGGATAAGAATGTGTCTTACAAATGATATGGAGATTAGATGTAGACAGAAAACTCCAAACACACTGCAGAACTTAAATCAAAGCTGCAGACAGAATTTTAGACTGAAAATTGTACACAAATTATATACTCGTAACATTTGGAGAAATTACCCGAAGTACAACTTCAAGATTCAAAACCAAAAGAGTTTCATTATATGAAAAAACAGGGCAGTTTCCACCTGTTAACGACTGTTCCAATATGTTAAGAGGCATATTAACTTACCTCTACCA